CTTACTAAGCTTTAAAGCTTTTATATCCCTAGAAAAGTAAAGTTAGTAAAAGCTTATATTACCTACTACTTAGTATACTAAAGTAACTAAATAGATTACTAGAAGGCTATAAGATTTTTTAACTTATTATAACACTTAGTGTACTTACTATACTATCTTTATAGACTTTATTATAAATATACTAAAAGTCTTAACCTAAGGTAGCTTTTAGGCTATACTTAACTTTTATATATTTAATAGCCTTTATACTATAACCTATAAGTTTAGTAAGAAAATTTACTTATCCTAGGTATATAAGGTATAAGGCTTACTACTAGGCCTAGGTATTACTTTAAACACTTATAATATATAACTAAGGACTACTAATAGTAATTATTAGTAACTATAACCTTAAGTTTATCTTTATAATATAGGTAAAATATTTAATACTCTTAAAGTATAACTACTTATATCTATAGTGTATTATCCTTAGACTAATAGTTAAAGTAAAAAAACTAACTAAATAGTTAAAATTACTATATACTTTTATATATATACTAACCTTAATATTTATAAACTAATATTCTTATAGCTTTATAGTATTACTTAATAACTTATTAGTAGTTATAGTAGTTATTTACTAAATAAGTTATTCTTAGATTTTACTTAGGATAGTACTAAAGTATATTAGTAAAAATAGACTTTTATTAAAGTTCTTAATATCTTATACTAAATATACTAAGTAAAGGCACTAGCTCTTATTAATATAGTAAAGTAATAAAAAAAAATAATATAATTATTACTATTACCTTATAAAACTTAATATTAAAGATAAGGTTTTTTTTAACTTAGTAAAGGCTATTTATTATAAGTAAGCCTAAGTAAAAATAGTCTTCTAGTGTACTAACCTTTCTATATTACTTATATAGTTAGGCTAAGAGCCTATAAACTTAACCTACTACTATACTAAAAGGTCTACCTAGTAGTATTAACTATATAGCTATAGAAAGCACTAACTAGTAATAACCTTTTTAAAAGGAAGTAATTACCTCTAGAGCTAGTAAAAGTAGACAGTATAAAGAATTTAAAGTTAAAAGAATTATAGATATAAAGTTAACTAATAAAAGAACTACTTATTAGTTAAGTATTTTATTAAGTAAAAGAAGTACTTACTATATTTAATATATAAGAACCTTATAAGAACCTTATACTTAATACTAGTAATATTATAACTAACTTTAAGAAGGCTAACCTTATTAATTAGGTAGTAAAGTATATAAAGAAATAAGGCTAAAAGCCTATATTAGTAGACTTCTTATAGACACTACTATAGTTAGTACTAAAATAGTTATAATACTTTATAATAATATAGGAGAAACTTAGCCTTATACCTTTATTCTTAATAATAACCTTATTTCTTAATTTTCTTTTAATAAGAATAATAATAACTTAAAGATAACTAATATTTTCTTTTATTAAAATATATAGTTATTTAGTAAATAATAAGAATATTTATATAGTTTAATATCTTAAAAATAATAAAAGAAGCTTTTACCTAAAATAACTAACTATACCTTTTTACTTATAGCTACTAATAATAATAATAAAATAAATTAACCTACTTACTTATAACTATAGTTTTCTTATTTTTAACTTACTAAATCTATTACTTTTCTATTACTATTACTAACTTTATAATATTACTACTATTATTAATAATAACTATTAATATTCTTATAGTAATAGTACTTTTTTCTTATATTTCTTTTTTTTTTTCCTTATAAACTTCTACCTCTTAAATAAAAAAAAATAAACTACTATAAGTACCCTAATTTAATTTAGCCTTATCCTAGGTAATAATAATCCCTTAAACCTAGACACTATTAACCTTAACTAGTACTTTAATAAGGAAGACCCTTTCTATATTACTAGCCCTTAGGTAGATTAGCCTAATAAGTAAACCTACTAGCCTAATAAGGTTACTACTGCCCTAGCTAATAAGCCTAGATCTATTCTTAAGCTATCTTTTATAGCTATTAACTAACTAGCCCCTTAGTTCTAAGATAAAGAAAAGGCTACTAAGAATAATAATAACATTAATAAAATAATAATAATAATAATAAAAGTATAAACTTTAATATCTTTAGTATTAAAAGTAATAATATTTCTTTACTTAAATATATAATAAAGAATACTAATAAGGCTATAAAATATATTAAATAGTAAAAGCCTTTACTTAAGAACTATAAGTAATAAAGATAGCTTATCTTTAATAAGATTTAGTAGTAACTTTAAGATAAAGCTACTACTATAAGAAAACCTTTTAACACTATAAAATAGCTATAAAGCTTACTAAGGAAATAAGAAAGTATAATAATATAAGAGAATTAAAGAAGCCTACTACTATATATAAAAGTTAGTAGTAATTACTACCCTAGAGAAGATTAATAACTATATAAGGGAAATAACTAAGCTATTTAGTTATAAACCTACTAATAAGTAAGTCTTTAAATAAATCTAAGCCTATAAGGCTAATACTAAAGCTACTACTACTAAAAAGCTAATAATACTAATAACTAAGTATATAAACCTTATACCTTTATAAAGTAAAAAGGCTATAGCTTAAAGCTAGCTATCTTTATTTATAAGAAGGCCCTTTATTACCTAAAGGACACCTTTTATAAAAGTAATAATAAATAGCTTTATAAAGAGACTATAGCTTAAGTTAAGGCTTTTTATACCTAGTAATAAAGTAACTCTATAGTATTATAGTAATTATTATTTACCTTAGATATATACTTTTACTATAAAATTACTACTTTAATAAATATTATCTTAGCTAAGTATAAAAAAAGTAAACTATATATAGGTAATATCCTTAGCTAGGCTATATTTATTAGCTTTATTTTCTTTATTAACTTAGCTAATCTAATTTAAAAGTTATAAGTATACTTCTTTTAATCTAATGTCTTAATAAGATCTTTATCCTAGAGATTTATTACTTTAACTAGCTAAAAAAGTAGCTATATACTATTACTAAGCTTAAAGAGGATATTACTAAGCTAGCTAATATAGTTAATAGCTATAAAAGTAATATTAATAAATATAATACTAAGGCTAATATAGCTACTAAACTTACTAAGAATATTATAAAAAAAACTAATACTTTTAATATAAATATTAATAATATTATAAAGAACCTTTATAAAAAGGCTAATAAAGTATATAAGTAAAATTAATACTTTAAGGAACTTAAGGAGTAAGTAAACTAAATAAACACTAAAATTATACTTTTTAATAAAAAGTCTAATAACCTTAATATACTAACTACTTTTAAGAGTAGCCTATTTAAAAAGTTAATAAATAAGGTTAACTAAATAGCTACTAAGCTTAATAAATAAAAAGCTATAGTTAACCTTTAGGTCTTAGCTACTTAGCCTAAGGTTACTACCTTAATAACCTAGGGTAGCTAAGCTAATAAATACTACTATAACGCTAATAATAATAATATAACCTAGGCACTACTAAAGGCTAAATAATCTTAATAAAACTTTAGAGATAATAAGTAAAAGAGGTTATTATATAAGAAAAAAAGTAATTTTTATACTTTATATTTATATATACTACTATTAGGTATATTTTTCTTAGTAAAAGAGGACAAGGTCCTTTAAAAAGAGGGCACTTATTATAAGATAATTACCTTATATAGTAGATAAGTAAGTAAGACATAAGATTACCTTATTAGTATATATCTAGGTATATACCTAAGGGTATATATCCTATTACCTATTTTCTTTTATAAAGAAAAGTAACCTTAATAAATAACTTATACTTATACCTAGCTTTATCCTATATTATTTATTTAGCCCCTTGTTATTACTTGCCTTGTTTTATTACTTTACTGTTATACTTTACCTTTGCACTATATTACTTTATATTGCCTATTGTAGCCTTGCTTCTCCTGTTAAATCTATAATAGCTAGTAGGAAGGCTATATTAGAAAAGGTAGACTATATAGGTAGAGGGGCTATAAGTAGGTGCTTTAACTTATATAAGAACAGCTATTATAGTTAGTAATAATAGTTATCTCTAACGTAGGCTTTAGTAATAACCTAATTAACTATAATAAAGGCTTATAGACGTATACTATTAAATTATTTAGTAGCCTTGTAGACTAGTAAGAATTAAGTAAAAGATTATAATAATTTCTATTATAGAGGTAGGATACTAGCCTTTTTATAATCTATAACGAAAGTACTATTAATAAGTAGATTAATTCCTAGATTAACTACAGTAACTATAATAATAGTACTTAATCTAACTTATAAATGTCATAGCGCTAGCAGGAAGGTCATAGAGCAGTGCCTATGTGCATATGCCTACTTAAGCGCAGTTGTTCTAAGACCTTCTAGGCTTAGGATTCTGTATCCTTTTACGTAGATGCTACAGTGGTATACGTTTAGAGGCCACGTTAGCAGTATGACCACCACTAGAGTAGCCTAGCTGCTAGTGCATAACATAAATAATAATTTAAAAATAGTACCATTATTGATAAGAGAGATTTTCCTACTTAAAAGTGGTAATTAAAATAATAAATACATCTAGCTAAATAGCTATAAATTTAAGACTACAACTGTAGTAAATTTGCTGTAGTTATCTATTAGATACACTATTAATATATGGCTAATTAAACAGAGATAACCGCTGTATCTACGCACTTCAACGGAAAGTTGTATATAGGTAGGCAGCAGAGGTGGTGAAATAAGTGGTGTTAAAGGTAATGATAGTAGCAGCAATAGTGTCTCAGATGTAGGGGTGTCTCGGATGTAGGGGGTTGAGTTACTTAAGTAAAAAAGCAAAGGTCTTGTGATATACAGACCCAAGTACGCTAAATCACAGAGAAGGAAAAGCGCCTCAAAGTCATGTGCCATTGGCTGAGGCCGTTTGGATGCATTTTGCGGCTGAACGATGCCAGTCGAAAATCGTTATAAAGGGGGCTGCGTACCCCAATCAGGCTACGACCTCTGTTGCCAAACTTCACCCATGATGATCTCTCGTGCTGTCAACGCCCTAGCAGCAGTCTCTCCAAGACGATGGCGTTGGCTGAAACCGTCCAAAGGTAAGAACCCACCAAATCACCACTATTCCCTCTGGTCGCTGACATCCATCTTGCGCAGGCAATCCGAGGACCTCTGGGGCAAGGCTTTGCGGGGGATCGAACCAGAGCTACGCGACCTCGTCGACGGGGTCAGGCAAATGTGAAACTCTCGAGACTATACTAAGCGCGGCCGAAGAGAAAAGGGAGTTGTGCATTCGGAAGCAATGGAAGATCAAGAAGAGGAATGGCGATGTCATCATTCTTCGCGACATCTTTGAAATGATCGTTCAATGCGTCAACAAATCCAAGATTCTAGGAGACGCTGCGGCTTCGATCGCTCCTCAATACGCAACCTTACCCTGGGGTGTGGTTGTGATCCTGCTTCAGGTAAACCCCTTGCTAACAATAATCATCATCCGCAAGGCGTTATCCTGATGTGTTCAAAGACAGGCATCAATGACACCGAGGCCTTCGCTGCTATGATCGATGGCCTTGAAGCGGTAACCAGCATAATCGCAACGTGTGCCGTTTTTGAAAGTGTCTACCTATCACAGAGAACTCTGGCAATTTCCCACCTTGAGAGCTCGCTTACCGCCTTGTATGGAGCAATCTTGACATTTCTGGGCACGGCATTCAGATACTTTTCCCAAAGTACAGGGAAAGGGTTTTTTAAGGCTGTCGTCAACCCTGCTAAAGAGATTGAGGATGCCATGAAACGCGTTGAATCCAAGCAGACCGAGGTCGAAAGAACGGCGCAAGTCACCATCATGGAGATCCAAACTCACACATCTACGCGTGTGCAAGATCTAACGTCCATGGTCAGCAGCTTGGCGGTTCAGTTAGAGATGGCAAACTCCAAACTAGCAAGTTTGAGTGGCCATTCCGAAGCAGCCATGATGCAACGTGGGGAATCCTTGAGCGTGGCAATCACCTTTATAATGAGACCAAAACAACGAACGATCAGACAGCCAGAGCGCTTCGACAACCTCAAAGTAGAGGATAGAATTATTCGATACGACTGGTTGTCATCCGTTCGCTACAAATTTCATCATCTCACTGAGACTCGAGGCCGGATGGTTGAGTCTGGAAAGTGGCTATTTCAGCGGCCTGAGTTTCTATTTTGGACAGACTCCAGCATATCAGGCACCTTGTGGCTACATGGACCGCCAGGCTGCGGCAAGACCAAACTTGCGTGAGTTCCCAGGTTGTTTTGAAACTGAAGCCACTACTAGTGAGACTGTCGTATGCGTGGCTGGTCATCTTATGCAAATATTGACATTACGACGATAGGTCTGCCGTCATTGACTTTGATCGAGCAAGGGCAAAAGCGCAGGCCGACTCTGCCGTGCCTATCGCATACTTCTATTGCAATAGTGGCGATGGCGAGCGGACAAAACCTGACGAAGTCCTTAGATGCATTGCACGCCAGCTTTGCGGTGATGATCCTGAATCGCCTGTCACCGAAGAGTTGCGCCACGCTTACGAGACCGCCCGTGACCCTCAAATTGGACAAAACAAACTGAGTATCAACGAAGCCAAAGATCTGATTCTTGGAAGATTGTCTGAGAACCCAGCTACGATTGTAATCGATGCATTGGACGAGCTGTGTGCCGAGGAAAGATATTAGCTCTGGGACTGCCTCAATTCTATCGTCAAAGACGCGCCGAATCTCGTCAAAGTATTCCTCACCAGTCGTGATGACGGAGATATTGTTTGTCGGCTAAGCTCTACGCCGAATATCTACATCAGTGTTCAAGACAACAGCACCGACATTGAGCGGTTTGTAGAGCTGGAGCTAAGCAAGGCCATTTCCCAGAAAAGGCTTCTGAGGGGCCTTGTGTCCGAGCAGCTCAGGTCGCAGATCGCGGCAGCTCTTAAAGAGGGCTCACAGGGGATGTAAGTTCATGGGCTCAAGCCATCTTCGTTGCCAACCAAAGCTGATCTGGTATTCAGGTTCAGATGGGTCAGTTTGCAGATCCAAAATTTATGCGATATCAGGCAAATGAAACTCGAAGATGATATTCTCCATGAGCTCCGTCAACTTCCTCGGTCGCTTTCTGACCTTTATGCAATCAGCTTCGACCAGATTTTGCAACTGTCGTCCTCAAGCTATGGGCTGGCCATCAGTATCCTCCAGCTGATGCTCGTTGCCGTCCGACCTATTGCCTGGGGAGAGATTCTCCACATTCTTCAGGTCTCCCATACCGCCGTGGGGGGTGGAATAACCCGCGACGTACTTCTCGACATAACATGCAACTTTATCGCCGATGACGGACAATGGTATCCGAGATTGGTTCACCATTCTGTCCGGGAATATCTGCGAAGCCGCCCGGAATTTGCATCAGGCGTCTCGAACGCCGAAGCTGCACGGTTATGCATACACCACATTTACGCCCAGGGAAACTACCAGACGAGAAACTACTGTTACTCGACGATCTACTTGGGGGTCCATTTGTCTGCGACGAGCCCCAAAGACCGCGTTTCCATTTGGCTCTTGCTTGAGAAAGCCCTACTTCCAGGAACGCCGCAGGAAGGCTCGCCTGACTTCTTTAAAAAATGGAGGCGAAGGCTGGACAGCTTTATTAAGGCCAAGCTTTTGTCTATTATGGGGTTCGACTCGGCACATAACTGCCAGTTAACTATGATAAGTATCAACCCAGTCGCCGCCGCCTGTGCCATGGGACTGGCGGAGATGTTGGAGCAGCTACGTCCATCAAGAGACCAGCTCTTTAAGCCCCTTAGCATTACTTATTATGGAGATCTTCTCACATTTGAGGGAAAGGAAGCGATGGAAGCGTAATATGGGAAGAACTGCATGATACTGTCGGTGATTCTTGAACGCGTAGAGATTGTGAGCATGATACACAAACTCGGGTTTTTGGTCGACACTTCTCTGGAATCGGGAGAGACGGCTTTGGGGCGTGCTGCCAGTCTTGGGAATCCGGAAATGCTACGCAGACTCCTCGTCTGTGGCGCCGATCCTAACCAAACTGCATTGAGCTACTATCCATCACGAGCGGCCACGATGCAGCGCAAGATGGACCCCGATGCCGTTTTACACATTGGCCGTCCTGCCACCACCCCGGGGTTTCACGTACTCAGCAGAACCGGACGGATGGAGGTCCAGAGTCCATATTTTTGGAAGGAAGAGAAATACGCCATCATTCACATAGCTATACACACCCTTCGGGCTGTCGAGTGTGTCAAAGTGCTGCTTCAACATGGCGCCAATGTCAACACGCGCTCATTGAACAACCAAACCACGTTGGAAAGTTGTCTGGAGTACGGCAACCTGCAGACCATGTTCGAGGTGTTTGAAATCTTGACGAAGTCGAATGTTGAAGTTGACGCCAAACTCCAAAACGACAGGACGATTGCCCATGTCGTGGCAGCCATGGGTCATACGGAACTAATGATCCGGCTTCTGGATGCGGGAGCCAACTGCGCCGTGCGAGACCAGTTTCGCCAGTCTCCCCTCGACATTGCCAGACGATATGCCCATCTGGACGTGGTAGAACTTCTCATTTCGAGGGGCGCCGTTGCGCCTGTAGTGGAAGATATCGAGGACGAGGCCGCCTCTCCTCTCCCGTCTGGATCCGGTTCCCAAGCCGGTTCGGATCCACCAAAGACCCCGTACCTTTCAGTGTCGATACAAGACTGCGACACGAAAGAAGATATGCCAACGTGGTCGGAACAACTACATGCGCAGCTTGACATGGCCGGTGGATGGCCTGGAGATAGTGCAAAATCGCAACTGGACGTCGTGAAGGAGCTTCACAAACAGAAGTCAGTCGGTCGGTCTTGGGAGACATTGATGGTATCTTCAGGTTTAAAGCAGTCATGACACGGAAAGTATACACGATGAGTTGCGTTGAGGGGCGCATGTGGGTACTGGGCTAAATGAGGGCCTGGCAGAAGAGGGGGCTTTCCCACCTAGATAATCACGTACAGAGAGAATAGTCGTAACAGAGATATTCTATTAATTAAAGTACTCGGACAGTTTCCTATATAAGTCCTGTCTTATAGCCGCTAGACGCCCTTGCAATGTCCCTAGTTATATAATACTTGTTAGGTTATAACACCTAAGCTTTGTGCACGTTTATAACAACTAGAACAGGTAAGCCACGTACTTAGCCCTGCTTTCTTCTTCTATAAATTTCTCTAGTCACTAAATATATTATAGAAGCCTTATGTACTCCTACTTTCTACAATAACCCTATTAGGTACTATAGTATATAGTGTTTAATATTTTCTTCCTTATATATAGGACCTTACTTTTATTACTTACACTTATATAGATATAAGCCTTTTAGACCTAAATTCTTATATACTTTACTATATACTTTAACTTATTATAGTTATAAGCTTAGTATATACTATTACTATTTGTGTTTTAAATAGTAATTAAAGTTCTGCCTACAGTTGCTATAGGTACTAGAAAGAGCTATTATAATCTATGCCGCTTTGGCAATAGTATCCTACACGTTTCCCTTGGCCGTTTCCCTCGGCAGTCATTAGGCCATGTATTCCTGTTAGACAAAAGTTCCAACATCACCGCCTTAATAGCCCTATACAGCTAAGGCAACAGGGATGATGGCCCTAGTTTGGAGCGATTGGGCCCGACAGGCTGGTAACTAGCGTTGGTCTAGTGTACTAATCTCTGCATTAGGTATGCATGGTTTAGCAGGTTGATAATGCTACAACGACGTCCAAGCGCGCCCAATGGGATATTGAACAGCCACTTTCTGTAAGCAAAGCCACTACTACATAGGTCCACATATCTGCTGACATTGTGTAAGGTTCAATCTGACCTAGTGACGTAGCTTGGACTTCTAATTTACATCTTGCTTGCGCTGAGCAGCCTCCACCATCACCTGCCTTCAGCTGCCTTCAGGGGCATATCTAACGAGTTACTTTGTTAGCAGGGGCATTTTTACTAATACACCAAGGGGGTGTTAGCACTTGGAAGAATCAAGCGCAACCTTCAGCACTCTATCCATTTGACCACCTGCACTCTTATTTAGCGGCTCAGCGGCCACAGGAGATAGCAAGGGCCGCCTGCCAATGAAACGCTAAGAAAGACCATCTGGAGGTCAAAGGGATCAGCCGTACTCCGGAAGAAGACCGCGCCTTCGGCCCATCTTACAAGTAGGTATCGTGCATTAGTGGCCCCAGACACTCGTCAGATAGTCGTAAGAGACATTGAGGTATCTTCCTCTTTCGTTGACTTTAGTGATAACAGACTCTTGGCTAGGTGGTTAGCGACCTGCGCTGCGGCTTAGAATCCTTGCAGCATGCAGAAGTAACGTTACTATGGTTCCACAACCTAGAAAATGCAGGCAGGCAGGCATGTAATTCACATTGCCATTGGCAACCATGGCAAGCCAGCCTTCAAGATTGACCTTAGCACACCACCTTGAACAATACCTAGGTGAGACCAGCATGTGAGTACAGCAGTTGTTGAACTTTTGGACTTTATGTAGTCTAAATAGTCACCAGTCCGCGCCTAAGAAAGACAGGAGATCAAACACAGCATCACTCAGTCGTAGGTAACATTATCCACGATGGCCAAATCCAACTAGGACACTGTAAGTTACTCTGACTTGGACATAATTGTTATAGTGTAAGCACATAGAACCTCCCCCTAGTCCTTTCTGTCTTTGTCAACCTTGACTAGACTAACCTACCCTAGCCTTGGCCTCTACAGTCTAAATGTTGCAGTCGTCAGTCGTCTTGTTCATCATCCTGAACGATCTTTCGCCCTCTAGGTCAAGCTCGACCTCGTGAAGGGCGCCAGCTTCTTCGAAAAGAAGCCCCCTCTCCACTTCCACCTCCAAGAAGGGTACATTAAGGCCATCCGTGGAAAGCTTGCAGTCGAAACAGAAGGCAAGGAGATTATTCTGACGCCGTGGGATGGGAGATTCCCCATCAAGCCTTATGTGAACCACCGCTCGTACCCTATCTCAGCCTCAAGACAAGATGACGGCAGTACTAAAGTAGCGTTCCTGCTGTCGGGGGAGAAGACGGATAACGTCTTTGAGCTGAACCCGGTGTTCTTCGAGAACTGGTACAAGTATTAGGATGAAGTGGTTATTAATGGCGCTGAGATTGACCTAATCCAGCTGTTTTGTGTACGTTCTTAAACGATCACCTGCTAACTGCCTTAGTAAGCCCTTGCACTAACAGACGAATTTATTTCAAACGTTTGACGCCGGAGGAACGTATGTGTCGTTTCCTAGCTGGGTGCCACTTGGGCAATATGTGTCACTTGCACTAGGGGTGGTGGTGGGTCGGTGGATAGGTAGCGGCTTGCTAGGATATTAGCTATTTCACCGCAAGTGGACAATAGACTGGGACCTTGCGTGCTCAAGAATGCAACAAACGATCTTCCAGAGGAGGTTTGCGGATAGCACCAAGCCTGACTAGATGCCATATTTATTAATGGACATAACACAATGATATAGATAGTTCGCGTTTTAAGACGTCACGTGGGATTTAAAAGTGCTAAAAAATAGAATACTGTAAAGCTAGGAATCCCTTCGTGTGGGGTACGTAGATTACACACGCGACCGATGTAGCAAACCATTACGGAATGTCTACTCGACCAGTGGGCCGTATTTGTATTCAGAACTGGACACTTTGAGACTACATGTTGTAACAGACCCTAGGGTTTATCACATGAGGGCTATGCTTAACAGCAAGAACCAACTCCTAATAACTACCTTGACACCGAGGGTATAGAGTATGATTGATTTCTAGTATAGATAATAGAGGTAGAAAGTTTCTCATACCAGGGATTTTGGAAGTATTTGAAGATTTGGATGCCAGGCGCCTTACTTGCTCGTGAGTCATAGCTTTCTGTGAAAACAAAGTAAATCCCATGATGTGCGCGTGGCCCGCCTTTATTGTTTAGGGATCGATTTGATAATCTCCTCAACTTTGAAGGGCGCGAACTCGGTCATTAGCTCCGACCATAGCTGCTCCTCGATCCTGCCGCCTTCAGGGGTGTAGATAATTGACGCCAACCTTGATGTTTCCGGAGGTTAGAAGATGATACACGGGCACGAAGGAAGGAGTAAGAATGAAAACTGACTTGTACAATTTGGTGAACGACAGGAATAGTCCATGTGTCTCCTCGCCATGGTTGATGATGGCGTCGGTGACGAAGCGTGACCCCACCGCAGCAGTGTTGGCAACACGCTTCATGAATATCTTTGCGACTGCTCCCGAGAATGTCGTGTCGTGCTCGCGGTTGAAGTCGGAGTCATGGACTGAGCCAGGCGATGCTGAATTAATGAGGGCGACTGATGGGGGAACGATGGCCGCCAGCCTGTGGATAAAAAACTGGCCGAGCAGCTTCGAAACGAACATGCGATCTAACATATCTACCTTGCCTTTCTTGTCTAGTGCAGCCAGCAGGGGAAAGCTTTCCCTCTCCATAAAAGCAGTCCATGCAGCGACCTCTGATGAGACGAAGGTGATGCGCGTGGGGTTCGGCTGGCTCCCACGCTTGGCTTGGACGATGGGTAGGAGCAGAATGGCGAGGAGGGCTGTGGAAATGAAGTTGATCTGCACCATCTCGTCGTGGCCCGTCTTCTCATTGAAAACGCGCTTTGCATGGGCGACGCCGGCATTAAGGATGACCAGGTCGATTTGTTCAAGAGTCTTTGTGCGCTCGACAAACTTGACAACGGAGTCGTAGTAAGAGAGGTCAAGGTCCCAAACCTCGATGGCGCCTTCGGGGAGCCGGCGGCTCGCGGAGAGCTTCGCAGCTGCGGCTTTGCCCTTTTCCGGGTTTCGCACGGCTAGGATGAGCTTGCTCAGCTCGAGCTCAAGGAGCTGGTTGGCGACCTCAAAGCCTATGCCAGTGTTGGCACCAGTAATTATGGCCGTCTTGCCCTGCAGATCGATATTTTGGATTTCGGGAGGTTTGACGGTGAGCTGCTGATAGAAGAAGCGAGGGACGCTCACTTGGGGTTGCGCGATTGATTTCGGCTGTGTTGCCATGGTGGAGATGCTGAATTTGGGGTAAGAGGTGAAAGAAGAGAACACAAGGGCTGAGAAAGGTAGGACTAGTAGGAAGGGGAGATGGCTTTGCAGCGACTTTTTTGGTATGAGCAAGATTGTTGCTGGCTTGGCCGCGTTGGAAAGGCGCTGTTGGCCCCATGTCAGATGTCCTACTAAGTATCTACAGGCATAAGCAAGGTCAAAAGGCGAAAAGAGAGCATGGGTTAGTTCGGTGGTGTGGAACGGGGCGTGAAGTTAACAGTTAACGGAGACTCTCGGGGCTGGGCGGCCCGAATGAACAATTGTGGGCCACCTGGGGAGGAAGCCAAGACGACATCTGATATATGATGTATCCGTAATCCTTGTATGTGCTAAACTTTGATCATAAGTGGGTCAGAGCTCAGCCGCCTTAACCTGTATGGATACAGATGGACTCTCTTCTCTAAATTGTTTCTTTCTGTAGGGCCTTGGCTATGAAGGTGTCTTTCTATTTCCGCTCCAGGATCATCGCACAGTGTAGCCCCGCAGATAGGATGATGCACCCTCTCTTTTTCAAACCAAGTCCATCATCTTACACATGCATCTATCGACTTGGCGTGGGCCTCCTACGGTTATTACTAAAGCAATAGCCCCAGACGGATCTGTAGGGCTTGAAATTAGGCTAATCAGGAACGCAAGACTAGGAACCCCCCATTCTGTTGTTTTTGGAACACTTGCTTAGGATCATATTTGGCAGCAATGCGCTTCAACTTGCCTAGATTGGCTGTGCTATATGACCTGAGACGATTCTGGTCCCTTGACGCGTCGTTCATGTACACGAACTCCAGGTTTGAGCCATGTGACCGGCTTAGCTCTTCCCATTTCACTGTCGTCTCAATGGAAACCGCCCGCACGCGGGCATCGTCTGATTCGTCTTCCCAGTCAATTATTGTTGTCTACCCTACACGTGAATGTTAGGTGTTGAAAATGCCCCACTTGACAGTCAGCTAGCCTATGCTGGCACCAGGACCTCACTCACATTGCTGATTTCAAGGCGGAATATTCAGGGGTTTGCCGCCTTTTTGAGCGCCTTGCTGAATGCGATGGTCTCCCACGTGCTAAATTACGAATGTCTGGTTGGCTCCTGTGGTGTCCCGAACGTCTCGTGCCGCTTTCCGCCAGAAGTTATATATTTCAATCGTAAGTTCAGTGTCAACGCGAGTGCTATGGCCTCTGTAGTCGTGTCTACATAATGTTTTAGTGACAGTTCATGGTCTATACTTTGACAAATTTCAGATACATACCGTCCTGGAACAGTTGGGAAAGCAGAGCCAAGTAGTTGAGCCACAAACGCGAATATAGTGTTCATAGAAGGGAGCATAACCAGCCGCGGCGTCAAATCGTTAAATGGAGAGAATACTGCTGGTCGTTGCGCAGATGGCTCCGAATACACGAGGCCGACGGTTACAGAGTCGAGAGATATTGTTAGGGCTATAGTCGACTTGAAGTCCGATGCTCCGTTCCCCTGCTTGGTCGACGGCGTAGACAAGGATCTCACCCCATACATCGTACACAGGGACCATGTAGAGATCGTATCAGGTATTGATAATGCCGAAATTAGGACCTCCGCCCTTAAGAGCCCAGAACAGATCTTGGTTCCTGTTAGCGTTGACCTCAGTTACTGTGCCGTTTCCAAGGACAATCTGCGGTCATCAAGACTTAGCTATAATAGCAAGTCATTGCAATAGGATTAGACGTACCTGAAAATTTTTGACGCTGTCTACAGCAAGGCCAAACTGCTCTAAT